CATAAAATTGGATGAGTTTTTAACCCTTAAAAAAGATCTCCATTTCATTTTAGGATATATTGTTCCTTGCAGAAAGACTCATTGTTTTTGCTACTAACACTGAGATGTTGGCATTCTTAAAACACAAACAAAAGATTGTTTTGCTCAGAAAACAGGTACCAAGTAGATGATCCGCTCTCTTGTGTTCCCCTTTCAACCAGCAGTGTCCAATCCATGGCTAGAGGTTGAGCGAGCAAACATGCATTTATTTTTTTATTTTATTTCTATTTTATGTGTATGAGTATATTGTCCGCATGTGTGTGAGTGCACCCATCTTGCAATGCCTGCAGAGGCCAGAAGAGGGTGTCAGATCCCCTAGAACGGAAGCTCCAGACAGCTCTTAGTTGCCTTGTGGGTGCTGGGAACTGAACCCAGGTCCTCTGCAAGAGTAGCCAGTGCTCTTAACCACTGTGGCATCTCTCCAGCCCCAAACATAGATTTATTTTGGGTAATGTTGAGACAAGACTTTATCATCTACAAAGTTCACATTCAAGAACAATGTAATAAAGTTTTTAAAAACTATCATGTTTTAAGTAGGTTATGATTTGGAGTTGGCTGTAACCAAAGCTATTCTCAATCACCTGTAGCCCACAGACTAGGTTGGACAGCTGTTTAAACCATGTTCAGTCCTTTTGATATTACAGTATAGTTTAAAAGGTCATCTGAAGCCAGGCTTAGGAGCATACATACCTTTATAATGCCAGGTACTCAGGAGGCAGAGGCAGAAGGATCATATGAACCCAAGAATTCAAGCCCAGCTCAGGTAAATACAGTGAGACCCTCCCCAACCCTCTTTAATGGCACTGAACCCCCATCTGTTCGGAAAGATGAATCGCAATAACATTATGACATTTATAAACCCATGTTGATCCTCAGTGGTGTTTGCCAACAGCAATTGCTTTTTCAAAGGTGTGGGCTACAGCCTCAGATGTGAAGCCACAGCCACCAACAGACTTTGGGAAGAGCAGAGCAGATTCCGGTGGAGTCCAGACTGCACAACCATCCTGGGCAAACCCAACGGCGAGGTACGTATCTGGTTCTCAACAACCGTTATGGGGCTGCCAGCCCACCTCTGTGCCTCATCCATCAGCCCTCTTGGCTAGTGTTCTCTTCTGAAAACCTTGGCCATCTGGACACCATGGCTCCAGCTAGACCAATAGCACTCCCTCTGTGTGCTTGCCACTGGCCAGCAGGAATTGTCATACCCTGTGTCTTGAAAGTTACTGCAGATCTCAGAATTAAGGGTAGATTTTATTTGTGTTTTATTCTTTGGGGGTTTGAGGAAACAGGGTCTCCCTCTAGCCCCAGCTTACCTGGAACTCACTATGTAGACCAGGCTGCCCTCTGTCTCACAGAGATACGCTTCCCTCCACCTCCTGAGTGCTAGGATTAAAGGCGTGCACCACTGTGTGTGGCTCACATTTTATTTCTGAAGCTATCTGGAAGCAAAGGGTAAGGAAAGCCCCACACACAGCCTTCTCTGGTCGCCTGTGCATCCCAAAATATTTGCTGAGATTCTTACCTAATCTTTAGGCTGAACTAAGCACTGGGAATTTAAAACAAAGACTTGATTTCCCCTCTTGGGGTCCCATGCTCTACTGAAAGGTGTACAGTCTTAATCTGAAATGACTGTCTTATTCACAGTAAAATTAAATACATTAGAAATGGCTTTCCGTAATTCTCCCTAGTATTTTTATGTCATGGCAGTGGAATCTTGTGACAAGAGAACTGCTTGCATCATGGGGAACAGGAAGCAGAGAGATCTTTCAGGGGGCCACTGAAATAGCCTAAGATACGTATTCCTACTTCCTCTAGCCAGGTAGCACTTGTGAAAGTTTCAACAACCTCTCAAATAACACCATCAAATGGTGACCAAGTGGTCAAACCACATGTCTGGGTAATATTTCAGACTCAAACCATACCATCTATTAAATGCTACCTATTCAAACCCCATCTAAAACTTCCCACCCAACCCTTGGGTCACATCCCATTGGAAGAACTCAACTATGTTCAAGCCATAAGCATTGTTTCATTCAACTAGAAAATATTTCTGTTAAGCAAGCTGAAAAGAGACGTCAGCTTAAAAAAAAAAAGTTAACCTCCATTCCCACCTAAGTTAGACTAAACCACACACTCTGCAATTGCAAGAAAGACGTTCCTTGAAAATCCCACTCCTCTCAGCATGCTGGGTGAAACAGACAGACCCAT